TTTTCCTGGGCAGCCTGTGGGGTGAGGCTGAGGAGTAACCCCTGGCCTTCCTCCCGGGCAGTTCTGGGATCGCTGCAAGCTCTTCCTGATGCCGGCCAAGCACCAGCCCGACTACGTGTTCCTGCGGCACGTCCCGCTGCGCCGCATCCACCTCTTCACGCTGGTGCAGATCGTCTGCCTGGCCGTGCTCTGGATCCTCAAATCCACCGTGGCCGCCATCATCTTCCCCGTCATGGTAACCCCGTCCTTGATCCAAGTGGGGTTTGCTGGGATTTAATGGAATTTTTGGCATGGTTCCACCATGGCTGCCATCATCTTCCCTGTCATGGTGATCCCATCCTACATTGGAAGGGTTTAGTAGAATTTTTGGTGTGGTCCCACCATCATCATCTTCCCCGTCATGGTGATCCCATCCTTGATCCAAAGGGGTTTTTTTGGGATTTAATGGAATTTTTGGCATGGTTCCATCATGGCTGCCATCATCTTCCCCGTCATGGTAACCCCGTCCTTGATCCAAATGGGGTTTGCTGGGATTTAATGGGATTTTTGGTGTGGTCCCACCATCATCATCTTCCCTGTCATGGTAATCCCATCCTACATTGGAAGGGTTTTATGGAATTTCTGGCGTGGTCCCACCATCATCATCTTCCCCATCATGGTAATCCCATCCTTGATCCAAATGGGGTTTGCTGGGATTTAATGGAATTTTTGGTGTGGTCCCACCATCATCATCTTCCCCGTCATGGTAATCCCATCCTTGATCCAAAGGGTTTTTTTTGGGATTTAATGGAATTTTTGGCATGGTTCCACTATGGCTGTCATCATCTTCCCTGTCATGGTGATCCCATCCTACATTGGAAGGGTTTTTTCGGGATTTTTGGTGTGGTCCCACCATCATCATCTTCCCTATCATGGTGATCCCATTCTACATTGGAAGGGTTTTTTGGGATTTTTGGCATGGTCCCACCGTGGCTGTCACCATCTACCCAGTCATGGTAATCCCATCCTTGAACCAAAGGGGTTTTTTTTGGGATTTAATGGAATTTTTGGTGTGGTTCCACCATGGCTGTCACCATCTACCCAGTCATGGTAATCCCATCCTCGCTCCAAAGGGGTTTTTGGGATTTAAGGGTGTTTTTGGCTTGGTGGTCACCACCAGACCTTGGCTTGAGCTGCTCCTGGACCTCTCCCCTGTCAGATCTTGGCCCTGATCCTGGTGAGGAGGCTCCTGGATTTCGTCTTCTCCCAGCACGACCTGGCCTGGATCGACAACATCATCCCCGAGAAGGAGAAGAAGAAGGAGGACGACAAGAAGAAGAAGAAGAAAGGCAACAAAGGCGACAGCAGCAGCGACGAGGAGGTGGGCGCGGGGTCACCGGGGGCTCCCGGGGACAGGGGGACACCCCAGAGCCGGGCAGGGTCACCCGGGCAGTGTCTCAGCTCTGTGTCCCCCCAGGAAAGAGGGCCTCCCCCCGGAGCTCTGCGTTCTGACTCGTCCCCGAACGGCTCCGACATGGACCGCAGGTAACCGGGACCCCGATCCCATCCTTGGGGGGAAATTTGGGATCCCCTCAGCTCAAAACCTCCGGGG